CTATAAAACATGTCTTGTTTATTCTTTCCTAACAAGCTACCTAACTTATCTTTTTCCAGTCTCTTGTCAAGAAGCTTTGTTAACTTTTGCTGAAGCAGGAGCTTTTTAAATTCCTTTGGGGGTGGTGGGTGGGGGGAAGGGTGCCCCAGCCTAGGGCTAGTCCTCAACAGGTCCCAAGCTGGAAGACAACAGCCAGTGACTGCCATACAATACTTTCGGGATTGTGAACACGCACTCTGCACTAAGTTACTTTACCCTACTCTACCTTACCCTATCCCATTTTAAATTTTAAAAAGCTGGACGGGACCCATCAAATTGATGTAGTGACCTAGTAAACTCTGCTCTAGGACGTCTTCAAGGATAGTGGTGAGTTTGAGTATTGGAATTGAGTGTCGTTTACCTCCTGACCCCCTTTCATACCAAAAATGACTTAAAGGAATTGCTTCCCAAAGTAGCCATCCGCCGAATACATCACATGTGGGGACCCACACTTTTCCACAGGCTTGAGGGTGTTTATATTAAGAGGCAGCAAATGTCCTGTAGGGTACTAGAAGAGGGAGAGCTCCCAGAGAGGAGGTTTGACTAAGGAGAAAAGCAAAGGGACCACCAATAAAAAATACCTATTGTGTCCTTCTTATATAAAAGGCATTATAAAGATGTTTTGGGGGAATATTCAGAACTGTACATCAGAGGAGCTTGAAATCTAGTGAGGAGAAAAGCCAATACACTGCCACTAAGCAGATGGTCACCTGTCTGGCAGGTGATATTGGCAGGGAATACTTTGAGTACAGAGCAGGAACAATCTGGAAGTTTTCATGTAAAGGCCTTGCAGACCAAGTATTGTTTAGGGTAGGGGGGTGGCATTCCAGGTGAAGAGAACATCAGGTGCAATAGATCAAGGTAACAAGCACAGGGCATGCGGAGCCAGTCAGAGCTGGGAGATGGAGCCTGGAACTGCAAAGGGTGTAGACGGAACCTCAGGAACTAGTCCCATATTTAAGGGGCAGGTCGAAGGGCTGGTTAACACCACAATGCCTGGATGAGAACCAAGGTCACGGGTCATTGAGGAGGGTGGTCAGCCAAGTCAGATGCTCCAGAGGGCGAGAAGACAGCACTGAGGAACACCCCCTGGCTTAGAACCAGATGCGCTAAGGCTCTGTAACGAGGGCAGTGGCTCTTGGCCATATTGTCTATCTGTGTGGGTGTGTCCGCTATCACTTTCAGCTCCATCTTTAAGATTTGCATGGTGTGTTGAACTGGCCCACAGTATCCAGTGAAAACAATAAAGTTCATAGGCAGTCTTCATTCTTTCCAGCTGTCCACAGCCATGTGAGGTGTTTAAGGTCATCCTGTGGGTGACTGCCCTCCTTCTGCTTACTGCAAAGCAGCTGTTTCCTTTCACTGCTGTCACCAGTTCTCTTCATGTGGCTCGTCCTGCTGAGCTGGTTCTTTGGGATCCTGACTTCAGAAACAAGAGGGGTGGTGATGTGTTGGGACCTTGCACTTGGAGACTGCACTGCAACCCTGGCCTGCTGCTTTGCAAATATAGGTGACTGTTCACAATAGAAACCAGATGAGGGATGGGTGGACCAGGTGAGCTTATCATCCCTGCTACAAAAACATGTGCTCAGCGGATAGCAGGTCAGTGTTATCTTCTTTAGGAGTAAAGGAGAATCTATGTATATACTTATTACATATGCAGAGTTGTGACCAAATTGCTAGAGGTGACAGGTCTGGGTGTTGCTTCCACAAGGATATCATTTTATTGCTTAATACTCAGATTTCATTCTGGATTTTATTGTTTGCATGCTGTCATTTCTTTTGCTCAATATAAGCTATGACCATGTAGACTTTGCTTTCTTTTCTTTCTCTTAGACTTCAGATTCCAGCTACTATCAACTGCTTCCTCATTTGTACTGAACAGTTTTCATAATTGAACCCACTATGTAGGTAGCCTGGACAGGTCATGTGCATCAGCTGCGTAATATTTATTGAGTAATTACACTGTGGACTGAGTCAAGTAGAATATACAGATATATACTGGCATGAAGAATATTATTTTAATAGCTGGCACTGGTGAAGCAGGTACTTTCTTTGTGTAGGAAAATACTTTGTTAAACAGTTTAGGAATGGAAGGAGGCCCTGAAGGAAGGATTAGGAGACAGAACTATAAGCTCTGTATAAAGATAGAACAGAAGAGGGGAGAGATGGGAGCAGAGAGAGGGTGGAGAGAGGGAAGTTCCTGGTTATGCTGAAAGAGGATGGGGTTGGTGAATACCAGTGCTGTTGAGATGTGGAAGGACTTTGAGATCAGGGGATTCTAATGTGAGGTTATTTGCATCCTACATTTAAAACCCTTCAGTTACTCCAAACCTTTAGAAGAGTCTGCTATACAAACAACCACAGAAAAGGATTTGCTTTCTAAATTATGTCAGCAGAAGAGAAAATGAGTTGCAGGAGTTGAGATATGAAGGCGTCTATGTGTGAAAGCAAGAACTCAGAGTCAGAGTGACCCTGAAATTGTTAAGCCCCAGAGGATGTGCGATCCTGGAGAGAACACTGGCCTCTCCACAGGAGGTGGAAAAGGGGCTTGAGTCAATTTCAACAAAATCTCTGTGGACAAGGTGACCCTGACTGGAACAGTAGCTTGCTATTTTCAACCATAATTTCTCAAGAGACATTTATGACTAGAAAAGGACAGGCTTAGTAACCACTCCCCCAGCCCCTCCATTTACTCAAATCTCTAGGCCTCATTTTCCTCATCAGCAAAATCTGGAGATTGGTCCTAAAATATCTCTATGATCTCTATTAAGAGTCTACAGCTCTAATAATCACCTTAGAGATACAGAGAACAGATTGGTAGTTGGACGGAGTAGAGGGGGGTGAGGTTGGGGTAATTAGTGAAGGTGGTCAAAAGGTACAAACTTACACTTATAACGTAAGTAAGTCCTGGGCATGTAATGTGTGGCATGGTGACTATAGTTAATAATACTGTATTGTATGTTTGAAAGTTTCTAAGTCAATTGATCTTAAAAAAAAACACAAACCACTAATCTTTTCATGTTATTTTTTTTGAGGTAAATTTACATAGTGAAATGTACAAATCTTGAAGCGTACCATTTCATGAGTTTTGACAAATGCATATAACCCCTGTAACCCAAACCCTAAGCGAGATATAGAGCTTTTACCATCATTACAGAAAAATTCCTTAAGTCATCCCCATCTCCAAGCTACGGCTCTTCAGGCTCTTATCACAATGGATTTAACAACTAATATTTAAAAGTTATTCTTAAATGCCAGGCTTTGTTTTGTAATGCTTCGTGGGTATCAATGCTTTTATTCCTCACAGGCACTGTGAGATGGATATTATCTCCATTTTGCAGATTAAAAGTTGAGCATCAGGCAGAGCAGGTCAGCTGTGCTGGTTGGTTATGTTACCCAGTCTAGAGGCAGGACAGGAACAAAGAAGTGGACTTAGAAGCACGGGGCCTTTACCCTCAGCTTGTACCATACTGCACTGTCGGGGTTCAGAACAAGTCGCCTCAAGATGGGCCTCTGTGGTATGCAAATTGTTTTGAGCTAAAAGCAACTTTAACCTCAGGCTCAAGAGAAACTTGCCTCTCCTTAACTACCTAGAAGATCTTGAATTAGGGGCCTTGATAATCATCAGAGAACCACTTGTGACCTGTCTATAGGGCAGGGCAAACCCCTATTTGCTAAACAACTGCTCTTATCGTCCTGCAATGACCCTCTGAAGCCCCAAGATGTTTCAAAGAATGTTTTCTCCTTTCTGTCTCTGAACCTCTCCTACGTGTGGGGTCTCTGACTCTCATGTATGCCGACTTCCCATACATGTTATGTATTAAATTTGGTCATTTTCTCTTGTTAATATGTCTCATGTCTATTTGATTATTAGACCAGCCAAAAGAACCTTAAGGATAGAGGAAAGTTTCTTCGTACTCCATATTCTCTGAGATTGTACGAGTCCACGAATGAGTTCGTAAGAAATATTATAGATCAAAATGCAACTGAAACTGATGCTCCTTACAAATTCTCAAACCTCCTGAGGGGAATATGCATTTCATCTTACTAAAAGGTTCCCTTCTCTTGCAACGCTCAGAAAATGGTAGGAAGGAGGTGTGGAGGGTTGCATATTGTATTAGACTGCTGAGTAGTCCAAAGCGAGGTGGTTCCGTCTGCAAATAGGCCTGGGGCAGAGCCGGTGGTGAGGCCTGATAGGCAGCGGGAGGGGCCCTTCTGGATCTCCCCCTTCTGATGCCACAGCCGTCCTCTCTGCATCCAGCTGCATCAAGGCGCTCGGCCGCGGAAACAGGACACGCGTGTTACCACGGGGACTGGCCGCCTCCGCCGTACTGGTCAGGCAGCCCCAGAGCTCAGTTAGTCAGCCGACCTCCTCAATGTCACCATCTCCCTCTCTCCATAGAACCCTCACGCCTCCCTCCCCCGGCACGCAGGCGATATTTTCAGGCTCCTCCCCGGAGCTAACTCCGAGGCCCCGCACCGCCCCCACCGCACGGCTCGCGCTGCCATGGCAACCGTACGCCACGCCACCGCCTCTACACGCACGTCGTGAACTAACGGACTCGGCGCTGTGGCGGCGGCCTGGGCCCCACCCCAACCCCACCTTGATCGCATCACCAACGGTCGGCCGGCCTGCGGCACCCTGGTAATGAGTCTGAGAGAGACCGGCGCGAGTGGGAGAGCAGCCGGTGGGGTGCCCAGGTTGACAGCTGCACCCTGTCTCCCGCTGCAGGTCCTCGGGCGCTGGCCGCCGCACGGGGACGTAGAGAGAGCAGCGGGGATGGGGGGAGGCTCGCGGGGCACTGTGGGGATTGTAGTTCGGCGACTCCTCAGGGTCGCGGCCTTGGCGGGGCGGCCTGGACGGGTGAACTACAAAGCCCGGCGTCCCCGATAGCTGGGAAAGACCGATAAACTTTGAGCGGACCCTGATAGAGAAAAATCTCTCTTTGTGGTGAGGAGTTCTTGGGTGGTCGCGGAACTGGGCTCTTTGCGCTGGGAAAGGGAAGTGGAGGTGAGACTTGGTTTCCCGCTCTGCCGTGGGGCCCGCCCTGGCTGCAGCGCTCAGCCCCACCCCTGCGGGGCCAGCGCCCCGCGTAGGCTCGGGGATGAGCAGCCACCCCCGCTGCAGGGCCTCGGGCCTGCGGCGCCTCTGACCCGCCCAGGTTGCTGCCTCTCGGTGCAGAACCGTATGTATGGCACTCATTTGATGTGAGACCCGACAAGCTATGTTTTATCAGGCTTTTCTCCTTTCCCTGATACGTTTCTTTATAGATATTTGATCATGTTAATTGTGAAGTAGCCCAGTGGTGTTTGCGTATTAAACCCATTAATGAATAGTTACCCAGAGGGCATTGATGTTTAAAGGTAAAGTATAAAAGTAGATAGAAGATTCTGTGCGGTTATGTAGGAGTATCTGGTATTTTTACCGTTTTGCATTTTTACACTTTATTTACTGAGGGCCAGAATTGCAAAATTGTAGCCCTGTCCCCCCACTGGCTTGAACACTGCCTACACATATTTTGATTCTGTTTTGAAGATTAGTTCAACTTTAAATTATAGTAGTAAGTTTTAAAGTACTTAAAGGCTTGTCTTTTTTTTTTTTTTAAGCATTGGGTAGTAATAATTATTTTCTTTGATTATTACATTGTTTTTTTCAGGAGCAGTTTTCAGAATGAAAAATGGCATGTTCCATTTTTTTTTTTTTAAACGCTGTGTAATACACCTTAGTCCCTAGAGTTGGGTCAGGTCCTGGTGGTAAGGAAGCTGACACAGATTTAGAAAACCTGCCTTGATTTGATGACTCTAAAATTTTTTCAGTTAGGTAGATAACCATCCTAGAAATTTTGGATGTTATATAGTATATTGGAAAACTATTGGTAGTATTGTGGGCTTATTTGTGTGTGTGTGTGTGTGTGTGTGTGTGTGTGTGTGTGTATTCAAAGAAGAAGAGAACATAAAGCCACTATAAAGTTCCTTTTCTCGCAATTAAAATGAAGCTGGCCTCTGTAAATTTTACTTAAAGTAGCAATTTTGTACCAGGAGATGGAAAGTAGGTTTAGTAAGACCATCAGAAACATAATTGAGGCCTTCTGTTATATAGTGTAGGGATTTGATTTAAGAATCTATTTTTGTGCCAGGCCTTATACCAGGTGGTGGGAATAAAGAGAGAATAGGAGATAGTGTGTGCTCTGCTTGGGCAGCATGTCATCACAATAGTGTGATAGAGATGGGTGCAGGTTGCTATAGGAGCCCAGGGTGGGAATAAATAGTAATTTAACACTAACATTTACTGAATCCTTATTGTGTCTGAGGCACTGCAGGGCATGTTTTGCATGCAGCTCCTTACAAATCCTCATAATAGTCTTGTGAAGTAGCTACTGTCATTTAGAGGTGAGGAAATAGACTTCAAGAACTTTCCAAAAGTCATAGCTGATGAGGTGTGAACCTGGGATTTCAATCCAGGTGGATCTCAACCATGGATGTCATTCTCTGAACACATTGGTAGAAAGATCCTGCCTGATTCTAAGGAGATCAAGGCAAGTCTCCACTATGATCGACATTTGACTTGTGCTAAGAAAGTTGAGAAAGCTTTCAGTGGAGAGAGGATGAGGAAAGTCAGTCTAGGCAAATGGCACAACATGCTTTTAGGATAGATTTGAGTGTTTTACGTTTGGGGAACCCTAGGCCATTCTGATGATTGAATCCCAGAATACTTGTAGTGTAGTGGGAGAGGCCAGATCTTAAAGTGTTTTGTACCATGATAAAGAATTTAGAACTTTTATTTAACATGTAGTGACCACTGAGGAATTTCAAATGTTGTAGTGTTATTGGGTTTGTATTGTAGAAAGAAAACTCCAGCTTCAGTGTGGAGAGTGGACCTAGGAGAGGAGAAATGAGAGAGGTGGTAGGGAAGCCAGTTTTAGGAAGAAAAAAAAAAAAAGTCCAGTAGAGAAATAGAGTCTGAACTATGCAGTGAGGGTTATAGAAAAAGATGGATTGTAGAAATATTTAAGAGGTAAAATTGATATGACTTAATAAGAGTTTGGATATTGGGGCCTAGAAAGATTTGGAACCCTAAGATATTGCTTCCTAGTTTTCCTGCCAGGATGAGTGACAGGACAGTGAAAGCGTTGATTGAGATGGGGAGGAGCAGATTTTTGTGTAGGTAAATATAAAGATAAGTCAGTTTAGTTCTAAGTATTTAGTTCAAAGTCCCTGTGGGTTATTCAGGTAAGGATGCATTTGGATCTGGAGTCCAGGAGTCCAGGAGAGGGCTCAGGGCTAGCGGTCAAGGTTTGCACGTAGATAAGCAGTGAAGTTATAAGAGGGAATGGACCAGCTCACATAGGAAAAAGGTGTAGAAATGAAAAGGGAAGAAGTTTGAATGTGGGACTCTTGGAAAGCAGAAGCATTTATGGTGTGTGTGTGTGTGTGTGTGTGTGTGTGTGTGTGTGTGTGTGTGGTGTGTGTGTGTGCATTTTTGAGATGAAGTGGAAGAAGAACTCACATGATACTGAGAGGTTAGGAGGCAGAGAGGGAGAAGAACCGGACCGAGCACGCATAACAAATGACAAAGGCGAAGGAAAGTAAGAAGCAGGGTGGCCCAGAGTATCAGGTACCTCGGAGAGGGCAAGTAAGGTAAAGATTGAAGAGTGTCCAGTGGATTAATTTGGTGGCTACAAATCATTTCTAAACTTTGCATAAATGAAGAGTAGTCTGAGCATAGGCTACTTAAAAAAAAAGTTTAAAATTTTCTATAATCATATCAAAAGAAAATAGAATAATGAGTTCACATGTAGGCATCATCTTGCTTGAAGAATGAACACATAACCAATTTTGTTTTATCTATAACTCCTGCCATCCCAACTGGATTATTTTAAAACTAAATTCAGATATTATATCTTTTATCTATAATTATTTAAATATGTATCTTTAAAAGTTAAGGATTATTTAAAAAATATAACTAATATGTCCTGATTTTTAAAAATTGACATTACCTCAATATAAAATTTCCAGTCACACTTCTTTTTAAAGAAGCTTGACTATGAAGAAAAGAAAGAGATGAGGCAGTAACTAAAAAAAGATTTGTAGGGATTTTTTTTGTTGTTGTTGTTTTTAAGATTGACAAACTATTAGGGAAAGAGCCAATAAAGAAGAAATGTTTGAAGATGTGGGAGATGGAGGGAGAGGAGAGTGCTGATTGAGGTCCTGGAGAACGTAGGAAGGATGGGATGAGCAGGGTGAAGGAATGTCTAAAATTAACTTGTTATATTTTATGTGTTCACCAAGTGCTAGTTGTGTTTCTAGGCAGAGTACTAAGGTTGATAGGAGGAGAGATACACTGAAAAAAGGAGAAAAGGTGACTAGACAGGAATACCGACAGGTTGGGTGGTAAAAGGTGAGAGAGGTCAAAGCTTAGGGTCTCTAAGAGGTAGGTGGGAATAAAGGCCAAGTGATGGGAGAAGAGGTTGGGGTTAGGAAGGGAGAATGGTGGGATGTGGCACAGCCACTGGAAAGGGACGACGGATTCAGGACCATAAGATTAGAATTCAGTAATGTTCAGTGCCAGCAGAACATGAGATTGCATGGTGGTTTTCCTTGCATTTTGATTGATTTACTAGGGGAGAGTTTACCATTGAGGACAGCAATAGGCTCGTGTCACTGAGGGGCAGAGATCTTGGCCAGGAGCGGAGGATGGCACCGGTCCTCAGCGCCTCATTCATTTACCCGGCAGTTGTCTACTTTGTGTAAATATCACGGTGAGACTAGACAGGCCCTTACAGAGTGTTTGGATTAATGCTTTGTACTTTACTTTCTCAACATGTACGTGGTGTTTTATAGAGAACATTCTCCAGGGGTCAGGTACTGAGTGTGGTGTAGTGGGAGGAGTCCGAGGGCTCTGCCGTCCAGCTCTGGAACTACAGCTTCTTTTCTTTGTGACCGTGGGCAAGCTGCCACACCTGTACCCCAGTCAAAAAGATATGAATACTACCTATTTTATAAGATTGTTCGGAAGATTGGACGTTTTTAATGGAGGTGAACCCTGCGTGCTCAATAACTGGAGACTTTCCCCCTCCTCCCCCTCCTCACCAATAGTGTGGTGGGATTGTCATTTCTTTTTGACCCAGCCATGTTCTGGGACTTTCCCTGACATATGAAGCAGGTAGGTCAGGTAGTAACATTATAAAATGATGATTTGTTCTGTAAAAGGATTCATCGGTTCTTTTAAATGAGGCTTCCCGAAGCACTATGAAATGTTATTTTTAGACTATTAATAGTAGCAATGACTTTGCCTTGGTTTCATCTTCAGAGAAGCGGGGAGTTCCGCTGCATGATTGGAGATCCCCAGAGCTCTAAAATTCTTTGATTCTCTGACTAGATCTCATTTCTGGACTGATTTACATTATTACTATTATTATTTTTAAAGATTTTATTGGGGAATTGGGGGAGGAGAACAGTGCTGGGGAATCGGGGGAAGGGGAACAGACAAGCTGCTGTTGTTTTGTTCTTCAGTCTAGTTGTGGAGGATATTGATTCACTGGCCCATGTTGGTATTATCATTGCACTCTTCCCTGGTGAGGCAGATCAGTCGCCGGCTTCTGGACGGCCACTCACGGCAGCTGCTGGCTGCTCACGCTGGCTGCTGGCTACACACGTAGCCCATGGCAACCCACTGCCACAGGGGCTGCAGCCTATGCCAGCGCCAGCGACTCACGGCAGCCCAGCTCCAGGTTGAGCTGTTGTTCAGCATCTTAGCTGTAGAGGGCAGTGTCACTGGCCCTCATATGTGGTATCTGAACTGGGGCCCTCTGGCGTCCCAAGCCAGTTCTTAACCAATGTGCCACTTGGCCGGCCCTGGACTGATTTACATTATGATTTCACTAATATTTGAGCATCTGTTTACAAGTGAAAATATGTATATATTTTAATGTACTCAGCATCATTTTATACATTTTCTCCTATAACTATACTTACAGGTTGTGGACCTAGTGAAAGCTTGCCTTAGAATAC